CAGAAGAGGAATGCAGGGTGGTAGGTGTTAGTCATCCCGTACGAAGCGCGTGCTGGTTCGGCATGTGAGATTTCAATGTGCACAGTTGGCGGATGAGATATCTGAAGGCTCAGCAGCAGAACTTTTCACCTGTTTGAACCCTAATCCACTGGTCAAGTGTGGGTGTGTGACCGTGTGCGTGATTCCTGGTGTCCATGGCTCTTTTCCTTGGCACGGGCAATAATCTACCTCGCTCTGGACAAACACACACACACACACACACACACGCACACACACTCTCATCAACGACTGGATCAGGCTGCTAATCCCTCAGACCCCACAGCATGTGTGCAGACGCACACACGCACGCACGCGCTGTACGCGGTGAACAGTGTCGGTTATGCAACGGCAATCCCAACCCGGGAGCCATTTGTGATTTGCGTCAGCGTGTGAGCGTCATCGTAGTTGTTCCTTTTTTGTCGAATCTGCCCTCAGAAGAAAAGTCGCGCAGATTTACCAACCGTAAGCTTGTAACACGGCCCTGAATGTCTGTGTGCTTCTGCAAAGCTTCAGCGCGAGGGTCAGAATGCAAAAACACAACCAGAGCGGTCGCCTGGTTTGGTTTACTGCGGTTTACTGCGTATGCACAGCTTTGTTCGCAAAGGATTTCACTGCTCGGTCAAACAGGTGCCAACTGCGCCCAGGCTGATGTGGGGGTTGATTATTGAGCTCTTTGGTGTCTAGACAATGTTTATATTGTATGCTAGGAACAAAACATGCAAACACCACGCAAAAACAATCAAGATCAGGAAGTGTTAACTGTTGTGCCACTGTGGGAAATGCTCTTCATCTTAGAAAATGGCTTAAATACACACTGTGCTGGCTATGAGGCCAAATAAGCTTCTGCTTACAGCAATGGAAAAAAAAAAGATTATACTTTATTGCAATTTTCCGCCTTACCAATGTCAAGGACAAAGAAATAAGCTGTGCACAAATGGGGCCACGCTTAAAATCCACCATGAACGCCGTGAATAGTCAAAGTCTGAGCGCCCCAGCTCAATCAGCAGAACACCTGCGCAGGTTAACCTTCTCCGAATCGACGGAACTAATGTGCCTCAAAAGGCGTGAAATAGTCTGAAAATAAACCACCACCATGAGTGCAGTTGTGATTGCGAGACCACGTTTTGTTCATTCATTTATTTTTTGTTACACCCGGTCCAGAAAGAAACAAACCTTGGCCGAACGGTGACGTAACCGAACCAGGCGAAGCACTTCCAGCTCCTCCTCCGGTTCACAGACTCCCAGACACTTTGGCTTCGAGTCATTCGTAATTTCCTGTCGGCCCTCTCCTCTCCCCCCCCCGTGTTTCCCACCGTCTGTGAACGCCGCTGGCTGTCAGTCTCTCCCATGCTTCTTCACAGCGTACGCGACCCTGTGCAGCATTCCCACGTTACTGTTTAATAGGAGCCTTCCTCCCCGGTGGCCAGTGATAAGCTAATGGTTCAGGGAATTGCTCACCGATCAAGCAGCCGTATCCGTCCAAAAAAAACAAAAAAAAAACGACTGTCGTGGGGTGAATAGTTCCCCTGATTTCGGTGGGGGGCGAGCAGGCAGGCAGTGAAGGATCCAAACGTGTAGCAGGTTCCGGCAACGGGAGCAAGACTTAAAGGAGCGAAAAAGGCGAAATGTCACACTCAGAAAGCGGCTTCTCTCCGAAGCGATACCTGGCGAAGACTGGAGCTCCTGCAGATCCTTAAGAAGGGTGTTCAGACGGGGGGGATGCAGAAGTGATCCAGCACTCCGCCCCAGGAAACCTGCCCCGTCCTCACCTGAGACCCGGAGACCAAACAGCAGCAACAGCCAAGCATCATCGTGACAGCTTCCTCCGTGTTGATTGGCCTCCCAGAACGTGGTTGTTAATGCACAACACCTACTCTGTTCATTTGAATATTTTTGAATAGATTATTTCGTTTTGAGAAGATTTTATTTGTCTTTTGTTTTCGTCTCTGTGCCCAACCTTTGCAGTTCGTACCCGGCAATTTGTCATCTCTTGTGAGACGCGAAGTGTATCTCGCGTTCCACAAAGTTTATTCAGACTGCAGCAAAAACAATAGCGACAGGAAATGACCAGGGTACGCCGGAAATTGGTTAAAGCACGAGTAAATCTCTAAAGTACGAGGAGTGGTCTTGTGGTATGTGATGAAAACGTGTATTTTTGGTTAGATATCTCTAAGTGCAGAAAATGGGGTGTCTGGTATCGCAAGCAGAGAAAATTGAATGTCTCCAGCATCATCATTGGCTGCCCTCTTTGTCGTGGCCCTTTAGATGCTCCTGTCCAGATTGAGCTGTCCCCCTCTGCTGATTACTGTAGTATCCTCTGGCTATTGGACTGAAAGTGTGTGTGTGCGTGTGTGTGTGCGGGAAAAAGAGAGGGAGAGAATGAACGAGTGTAAAAGCCAGAGTCTGCTTGTTAAGGAAACATTCCCTCTACACTGAAAGTTTAGGGGAAAGTGTCTTCGCCCAAATAAAGACACACACACACACACACTTACACGGTGCGGTTTACTGAGCCAAATGGAGGCGACTGCCCTGTTTGTAACATTAGCCGACCTGTAGGTCAGCCGACTGGGAAACGTGGGGCTCTTTTACAGGTGACCTTCTTTTGCCGTGTGCCAGATGCGTTTCCGGAACGGCGTTTCAAACTGCACTTGTGCGTGTCCAATTTGTGTATACGCAAAGTCATTCCTTTTGTATTAAAATGTGATATGGACCCTTTGAAGGTTGCTTCTTGCTGCCCGGCTGCGTGCGGACGCCTCACGCCCCCCGTCTCTTTGTGTGTGTGTGTGCTGCTTTGTGAGTGTGTGGCGGTTTTAAGTGTGTGTTGTTCTTCGCACAGATGCCCTTCAAATGGCAGGCAGCTAGCGGACTGCACTGTGTGCCTGTAGCACACAGCGACACTAAAACCAGTGGAGGCATTTAAACGTCCATCCGAGGGGCTGACGCATAGCAGCTGACCCCTCATGGCAGCCGCTTCTCCATCAAGCTTCTCTCTGACCTCCCTCCCTCCCTCCCTCCCTGCCTCCCCTTTTTTGCCCCTAACCATTTCTTTGTACTCTGGTCTTCACTTCCTCGCCCCCCCCCTCATGCAATGTATTCGTCATCTTACGGAGAAGTACAAATCCCACTGACTTGCATTAGAGATGCCGTTTTTTCGGGGTGCCGAGAGACGCTCAGATGTCACCGTCTCCTCCGACACTGGGCCTCCCGTCGTCGACTTTGGTGTTCAAAGGGGAAAAGTCCTTTAATCGACTCGCTGTAAAGAGTTGGTCAAAGTTGAGGCACTTACGTTGTGGAAACTTGGTTGCGATGGGGATCAAAGCGGGAACCGTTGCCAGGCGCACGCTAATAACTTAAATCACTAATTACTTACCACACCGCCTCTCTAAATGCCTTTGTGATGCGATGATTCAGACATACAGTAAATAAAGCCCTTGAGATTTCAGAGTCGCAATATTATAATGTGTAAAAAGCTTTGATGATTGGAGGCTTAGACCTGAGCCTGTCCATTAATAACAGAACCAAAGGCTGTTTTACTGCACATGTTATCTACAGTACATGAGAGAGCATGTATGTTTTGTATGTTGCAGATATATGTGTGTTACTAAAAGGGTTGGGATTGGGGGTTTAAAATGTCGCAGAAAAGATGCGTAATCTTACCTCACCGCCGTGCTGTTACGGCGATTTAAACATTTTTGACATGATTTGTTCTTTTTGCATTAGATTTGTGCTGTGATCCAAAAAGTATCCAAGTTAGACACTATATCATATGCAGTATGTGGCTATATTCCTTAATTATTCTCAACAGACACTGGATATCATATTACAGTGGTTCTTATCCCCTGTGGATGTGGCACCGTAACACAAAGCTTTCTGATTAGCGGCATCAACCCGCCACGGTTTCAGTTATGACATTATTGGTGTTTCACAACAATTAGAATATTTATTCAAATGTACTCCCACATATGAACAATGGCACGAAAACAAAAAGGCCTCACCAAGTGTTGCCTTCCTACAACCTTTTGATATTTGTTTGTGCGCCTCTTAACGTCTCGGCGTGGTTCGTCGTGCCCCCGCTCCACCCGCTGCCTCGCTCCTTGTTTTTTAAAACCATTGCTTGCGTTCTCGCTTTTTTTTTCTCTTTCTTTGAACTGGTATAATATATGCGTGTGTCTGTGTAATGCGCTTTTGTCTGGCAATAATAACAACAGTGAGGAATCTAAAAAAAAATCCAAAATGTTGCATCGCAACAATGTGTTCTCTCGTTACCTGCAAATAAACGCCGCCCACGTGAGGCCTTCGGCTTGCTTCGGTCGATTCGGAGGATGCGTCTCGCATCTTTTCGTCTCACTTCAGCTGCAAGCGTGACTGCCGTTTTAACCAACTTTCAATCAGTCTCTCACATCTTTTCGAAGGCACGTGCGTCAGGAATGCTCATTAAAACTGCATGTGGAGATGAGCGCGTACTCCTGCTCCGGCGCTCTGCGCATCTCGCCAGGTAATCAGACGGGTGAACACGTTCAGCCAACAGGCTGTGTTCAAGGCCACAGAAAGCCACTGCTGCTAATTGTCCCTGCTCATGTTCACCGCCGGGTACTGAATTGAATGAACAGCAGGTTCAGGAAAACATGTATTGCCATAATATGTCAGAGATACAAGGAATTTGACTTGGCGGTTGGTGCGTGACAGCTGACAGTACGACAATGGACGACAAGACAACAGTGCACGAGGAATAAAATAAGAAATAATGCTATGGGTTAGTTTAAAATGAAAGAATAAAAGTTAAAATTATGTTAAATAAAAAATAAAGTGCACCAGTGACAAGTGTAAGTGACGTGTGCAGTGATAATGAGTGATAATGTTGTCCCTTTTCTTCTCTTCATCTATTCTGCCCCCCACCCCCCTTTTCCTTCCACCCACCCCCATCCTCGCTCCTCTTCTTCATCCGCCTGTCCTCCATCCAGGGGAGCACCTGCGCATCTGCTCCCAGGGGTACACTTGCTGCACCAGTGACATGGAGGACAACTTGGCCGCGCAGAGCCGCAGGGAGATGGAGGGAGTGCTGAAAGAGGCCGGCCGGACCCTGCAGACCTCACTCATGGGACAGCACAAGGCCTTTGATGGTGAGTTTGTGTATGCACAATAAGTGTGGGACTAAATGTGAGACCATTGAACGAGAGAAGACATGTACTGCACAGGGACACAGCTGTGTGTCCTCCTTTTGTGTCGGCGTCACGGCAACGACGCACCGAGAGGAGAGCAGGCAGAACATCCCTGCAGGCAGACCGTTGTCTCATGACACATTTGCATTTCAAATGATGTTAACTGTGCTTCCAAGTGTTGTGATGTTGTATGTGGAGCAATCACCAAATCTACTCTGCAGCACAACACAATATTGTCAGAGGCGCTTATAATGACATGAACGAAAATCAGGGCTTATTTGCAGCGCTCTGAGTGTGAGCTGGGAGAAATGAGAGAGACAAGGAAAGAGAGAGGTGAGGGAGGGATTTTCGGTCTTAGCACATTTGGCGCACCGAGGCAATTACTTGTGTCTAATGACCTGCTCCAGTTAATAGAAGGGTGTCTCTGTGCTGCACTTGTTCCTCTCGGCCAGTTGGTGACAATGGATCCGTCAGCCGGGGCGCTGAGCTTGGCTAGTTAGTCTGACCCTTTGAAATCCCAGTGATTAGTGGCAGAGTGACATTTCTTTACCGGCCTTCTGGCGCTGTCCCGCTTTCTCATGGTGCCTCCTTATCGCTCGGGGGGGCTGTGCGAAAGGAATACAGTCCCCCAGTACACAGACACACACACACACACACACAAAAATATGACCAGGACATTCACATCATCTCAAAGGGTAGTTTATGTCATCCTACAGTTCTTGAGCTTTCCCAATTTCTCAGGAAGAAAACCTCATTTAGCACAGCAGGCCTTTTAAACAGTACCATCTACAGACACATATTTTCAAGCAGCACTCAGCTCCAGCCTCTAAACATTCTAATGATGTGCATCCAAAAACTCGTAATTGAATACACAAAGACACACGGGACCAGCGTGGTTTACTTGTGTTGCCTCAGAATGAAGTCATTTGTATCTGGTTTTTTGTTCATCTGTGCTCAGAATTCATGTCTCTCTGTTGGCCGTCCATCAGTCCCATTCTAATGAACCCGATATCTTGGGAACTCCTGTAGGGAATTTCTTCAAATTCCGCACAAAACACCCACAATTGCACTTTTTTTCCCCCTTACCCTTCACTTTGTTACTTCCTCAACACTGTCCTGTTCCAACACGTTGTGCCAAACTGGCCTAAATAGTTCATGGCATTGCCGATTGCCTTGAAGCCAGGCAGCCCAACACTTAAAGTGTCCAAATAAAGACAGCAGTCACTGGAAATGAGTTGCTGGAACCCGGCATCTCAATCTGTAGTCACAACTTCCGTTTAACCGTAAAAATAAACGTAGTCTGTGGTCACAATCGCAGTTCCCCTTGTCCCTTTATCTCACCCCGATCACCATCAGATGGGGATTTGCACAGCAGACAGAGGGAAGGGAGAAATATATGTGTGTGGTGAAAACCATCTGCCACTGACCGTGTCCTCAGAAGGCATGAGCTGAATGATAGACGGGGGGTTAATTGGACCATAATATCTTACATTTGCTGCCACGCGAGTTTGTGAGGACCCACCCATTCTTACAAAAGGCACCCGCTTGTCTGATGGCAAAAGGGAAAAGGTCAAAGACGACGCACTCGGGCTTTCTAAAACAAATTCAGACTTAACCTTTTCAGAAGTAGCTTGGTTGTTGGATCTTATGAGAATATTCACTGAAGTTGTTATGGTTTGAAATAGTTGTAAATTAGATGACTCGGAGACATTGCACCGTGCCGCCAGTCCCTGCACATCTGGCAGTGTTTAGCAGGGTGTGGGCTAGCTAGCGCCATGTGGCTAAGTGTAGGGTGTTACTGTTCCAGGCAGACTAGGACTTTTTAGGTCAAGGGACTTTGGAAGAAGCCCCAACCGAGCCACAGATTAGAGGACCGGCATGCTCGCATACAGCTGGATCCGGGCCTGCGAGTGTGTAGCCTACATTGTATACATGTGAGCATGCAAATGGGTGTTTATACGCACGTGTTTGTCAGCTTGTGATCTAGTCTGTGTCACCGTCAAAGTGTGATGGGTGCACAGTGACAGCATGCGTGGTTTCCCATCCTCCTCACCGCCGTTCATACTGTGGAGAGATGCAACAAGCATTTCACGTCACATGTTGAAAAAAAGTAAATGCAAAGGAGGATAAATGGAGGTGGGATGAGGGGATGAAAAGACATTGAGACAGATGCAAGGATAAAAAAAATTAAAAAGGAGACACGTTGTCAGAGCAAGGGGAGAGATAAGAGAAAAACTGGTGGGGATGAAGAGTGTTAGGCTAGAGACAGACGGGACGGGATGGACGGAGGAGGAGAGACAGGAGGTTACAGATGAAAGTGAGAGGGAAAAGGTCAGAGAGGATAATGAGAGTGATGGCACCAAAGGGAGCTGCGGGTTAGATAGCAACCAGGTGTGTTAGACAGACGGAAGCCTTAAACCTGGCAGGTGGCGTTTGGCCTAATGGTTCCATCAGTAGCATCTGATTCACTGACACAGTGTGTGTTTGTATGTGTGTTCTCTTGTGCTGCTGCCACATATAGCTACGTACAAAAGCTCAAAGTCTTACCCTGTAAAACGGGATATTTTATGATCTAATACCAAGACCAATAGTAAAGACAATACTACTCACAAACTTCCCTTTTACTCTTCATATTTGGATTGTACAGTGTGTGGGTTCTACATAAAGCTGCCAGCTCCTGTGGTCATCGGACACCCGGCTTGTGTCTGTGCCTCCATTGGGAAAAAAAGGTGATATTGTGACAGAGGTTTTCTATTTGATTTCCTTTGGCCTTTGATGTTGAACCCCCCCCGACCCCTCCGATTCATAGCGCATTTGAACTGGTCATTTGTCCAATAAGTCAAAGGGCTATTGACGATCGTGGTTTACGCAGGCATTTCCATTCAGGATTCAGTGTTTCTCATTATTTATTTGGCAAAACAATACAAGCGAACAAAGGTAAGAAAGGAACTCATTGCGTCGCCTCTTCTGGTAAAACACCACAGGCCACCATAAGCCCACCCCATACTGGTCCTGCCCACTCCTACTGTATATACCACATCAGGTGTCCAATCCAATAATCCAACCTAAATAAGCAAATTTGTCCAATATTAGGAGCCTTAAATATACTGAATTCTCAACGAGAGTTTCAGTTAGATTGGTTCACCCCAACTCTTAATTCAGATCTTCTTCAGGGGTGTAGGTGTGCCCCCTCCCACCCCCCACACACACACACACACATTCATGTAGGGGCACACAGTATTTTTGAGCGGCCGAATGCTTAATGGCCAGTGTCTTCCAGCCCATTTCATTTCAAGGCAGATCAGTGGTCGTAATCTGATTTGAGGGATATTGGCTGGCTGGTTTATGGGTACACTCGTTTCTAGATGGCCGAGCAGGACTCGCTTATTTATTCATTTAAGTGAGGCTCTGAACATTTCCCAGCTGGACTGCAGAGTAATTCCATCCCCTCCCAGGGAGACGGACGGAGGGGCGCAATCCAAGAGTTTGACATCACGCTTTCTCTGTTGTATCCTATCCGATTTAGGAAACAAGCCCCTAAACTTGGATCTATGGGAAAGTCTGTATCGCCATCAGCTGATTGCAAGCAGCAGCAGCAGCAATGAATAGTCCGACAGCTCATCTGGAGTTCTGATACAGAGACAACACTGTAAGGCAACACGTACAGCAACAGTTTGTTCATTTTCGGGATGAAAACCTAACATTTCTGGGTTAAAACTGCCATAGGTTTGACTACAGGACCATAATTCAACATGTGGGTGAGGTGTGCTACACTTAAGTGCCTGTATAGGATGGACAAAAATAAGGAACACTTGTCATTGTAAGGCAGGATCATTTTACAGCATCACAAATGAAGACCTTTATAGTGCTATAAAGAGGAGACTAATTACGGGCTTCTGTATGTGATTACATTAAGACAAAATTATACTACCGAAGGGACTCATACGCGGACAGCTGCAGACGCCACAGTCACATAATAGTTTAGTTTATGATGTCCGCTAAATACGTCACGTATATGTAAATATAACTACATTTGGTTTTAGCTGTTTATACCCAACGTAAGCCTGGTTGTTTTTCTTTTTACCTGACTAATCCCAGGCTTAGACTGGACACTGGCGGTAAAAGACAAGCAGCATTCCCGCCATTAGGTAACAGATTTGATTCACTCCCACCTGCAGACACCCACCCTCTAATTTCCTTCTTTCAGGGTCACCTCTGGTGATGTCATGAGAGACAAGGACATCTGCTCCATTGTGGTGCTTGATTTGCTCATTTTATCTTCATGCAAATCACGTCGGCGTGGACCAGGAGTACACTGGCCTGATTATGCCAAACACATTACTCACCGGGAGCGATAATGCCCGGGAAGGATGAAATGAAAGAGAAAAAAAAAGACGCGCGAGGGACTTAAAGAGGAATTCTGTGATCGAGCAGACTGGCTAGCGGTGGAAAGTAGGATGACAAAGGGTGGGAAAAGGAGAAGCAAATGGTAGTGAGGGTAAGGAACGGCATGTCGTCTGGGAGGAAACAAGCAGCTGAAAAAAAGAGAACCAGATGGATAGCGACTGAAACGGGCTGAATGCTGCATGCCAGAAAGAGAAAGTCAGGAGAGAGAAAGAGGAGTAAAAGCTCCCACAGTGAGCACGTTGATAAATGACATGCATTATGTGATGTGTCGGCGTATTTGATATGAGTGAGCTTTTAATAGCATCTAAATGCTGGCTAAGGGGCTTGCAGTATTCTCGGGTCACAGTGTGTGTGTGATAAGTGCTGTTATTGATGGAGAGTCAGACTGACAAATAAACAGTCTAATGGCTCCCATATCATCTTTTGTACTGTCAAAGCGACAGGACAGCAGCATTTGTTTGTGCCTGTTGTGCTGGTTTTATTCCACGTCCTCATGCAGGAGCGGGGAACTAACAAAGGGAGAGGCTGAGGATCCTTGGTACTTGCGGATGGAG